GTGGCACAGCCGAGTGTGTAGTGGAGTTGAAGGCTGAGGTTGTGAGCATGTTTGGGCCCAGTGAGGAAGGACCTGCCCATGGGGCCGGGTGTGCTGTGAAGGGAGGCGGGGGCTGTTCCCTGGGCATGCAGCAACCCTGGGAGGGCATTGGGGCAGTGGTTTCCCATCCTGGTGCTGAAGGTTGGAGGCCAGCATTGGGCTGTGAACTCTGTCGTTGTTGAGATGGTAGAGGAACCCTTTGTGTGAGAGGCGCACGCAGGCCCCATGGCTCTGAGGGTGCGTGGCTGCGTGTCCTGACCACCTCCTTTGGCGGGCGTGCTGCCCATGTGTTTTGTAGGTGAAGCTCCCTAAGGAAAGCAGCCTGAGGCCCAGCCAATGTCACCTTGGGTGACACCAAGAGTTTTGCAGTGGGGAGATTTCAGTGTAGGCAGCATGCCAGGGTGGGAGTATGGGAGGCAGGCGGCATGGCTGTTCGTGTCTGTGGGCAGCACCCCGCCGAGCTGGCGGTCTTGCTGAAGCACGCCCTTGTTCTCTATGTACTTCTCAGAGGGGCCCTCGGTGGACGCAAGACTCACGTAGGCTTCTGCTGAGCACCAGAGGCAGCGGTGAATGGCGGAAGCACCATGGCCTGCGCTGGGCCAATGCCAGCGGAGCTCAGAGGAGGGTAAGCATCCCCAGGGCCAGAGGCCCCGCACTGGCCCTAAGGATTCCTGCGGAGACCTGCCAAGATGCCAGGGGAGCCTTGCTGGGCTCGAGGGTGAGAGCCCATGGCCCCACGGGCCTTGTTTGTTTGGGCCATGGCCCTGGACTCTGCTGGCTCTTGAAGGTCTTTGAGGTCCCCGGGCTTGCCTCCCCTTGCGCCGCCTGCCGTGCTCACCTGCCAGCACGTTGGCATGTGCTTGGATCGATGATGACTCCCGCAAATACATTCCTTGGAAGCTGAACAAAATGAGTGAAAACCCCATACCGTCGTTCTCATCGTGACTGAGGTCCAGCACATTGCCCCGTGCAGAGAGCAGGCGTGAGGAGCCCCAGCAGGGCTAACAGTGATCCTGCAGCACTGGGCCTGTGACCCAAGGGCTGCCGTGCCAGCACTCAGGCCGAGGGTTCCCAAGTGCCCTAGTGTGTCCATGGGTAGCTGAGTGCTGGGTGGGCGGGAGCTGAGACTTGGGGCAGCCAGGCCAGAGGACAGAGGTGTTGGCCTCTTGGGGAGGGCACAGGTGACCCAGGGTGTCCATCCAGGGGTGTGCAGGACACGGGTGCCTAAAGAGAGAGCCTAAAGGCCACAGCACGGCCTGGGGCGTGATCCCTGTGCCCAGCATCCTTGCAGCTCTGTGCCCGCATCCTTGCAGCAGAAGAGACACAAGGCCGAAGCCCTGACTCAAGGATGTTGCCCAAGCTGGTTGGGTCGGGATTGCTTGTGAAGTGCTTCCAGCCTGGTGTCCTGGGCAGTGCATGGCAGGAAGCTTGGGTTTGGCAGAGCCAGCCTCTGGGCTGCAGTGCAGGCGGGCAGGAATGCAGTGGGTGGGGAATGCACACCTGCGCCTCCCTGTGCATGGACGCTGGGGTGTCTGTGGACACGGACACACAGATGCTGCTGCCGGCTAGCCCCGGGCCACAGCAAGAGCACACGGAAAAGGCAGAAACCTGAAACAGAGCATGGGTGCGAGCGTGGGCCAGGTGATGGAGTGGATTCCTTGTGGTGTGGTGTGGGCAGACCCTTTGCTCTGGGAAAAGTACGTGAGGGTTGGAGAAAGAGGGGATGTGCGAGGGAGCGTGACACAGCGGGCCTCCTTGGGCCAGCGGCTCTGCACTGTGGAGCTGCCTGGGTCCTGAAGCTTGGTTGTGCTGTGTGTTTACTTGGCAGGGTGTGTGGCTGCCATCGGCGTGGCTTGTGGAGTGCCAGCAGATCTGTGCTTGTGCTTTGGAGAGGAATCCGTCTGGGTGGCTGGCATGCAGGTAGCCCGTGTTGGGCTGGAAGTCCCCAAATCCTCATGGATGGTAAGCAGTGGCAGAGCCGGGGTGGGTGGTGGGGAAGTGTCCTCTAGCGCTTCAGAGTCCTGCGGTAGTTGTGGGCGTGTTGGCCTGAGGTGGTCGCCCTGGGCTCCACTGCAAGAGTGGATCCTTGTGTTTTTGGCGGTGCAGGCTTTGTCCCTGACCTCTGCAGGCCTCTGAAGGGGCTAGAGGCCATAGGCTGTGGCCGATGCCAGCCTGCGTTGTTGTGCTCCCAGCACGTTGGGGTGTGCTTGGATCGATGATGACTCCACCGTCAAACATTCCTTGGAAAAGCTGAACAAAATGAGTGAAAACTCACTACCGTCGTTCTCATCGTGACTGAGGTCCAGCACATTGCCTCTAGTGGGGAGCATAGGAGTGAGGGTCCATGGGCAAGGGTTGAGGTGGCTGCCAGCCCCAGGGTGAGCCCAAGGGCAAGCGTGCCTTGGGGAGGTCAAGACTGCTGGGGAGGTGTGGTGAGAGGGTTGTGCATGGGCAGCAGTGCGCTGGTGGTCCGGGTGCTATGAGTGGGGAAGGGAAGTGGGATGTTGTGGCAGTGTCGGTGTGTTAGTGTTAGTGTTAGTGTTTGTGTTTGTATGTGGCTGTGGGTGTTGGTGGAGGGCTGGGTGTGTGATTGGTGCGCACACCTAAGGTGTTCCATGGACAAGCCATTGGTGCTGAGCCTTGGCACCCAAGGGTTGCTTCAACAGTGTGGTGTGGAGGTGGCCTTCTGAGCCCTACTAGGCAAGGGTGCTGGTACAGTGTGTTGCATTCTGTTGTGATGTGTTGTGTTGTGAGTGCTGTGCTGCATCTGGTGTTATGTTGGTGAAGGCATGTGTTGGGTGTTGGCCGCCATGTCTATTGGGATGCCATGTGGCCAAGCACCCATTTTTGGCAGGTTGATAGGTCTGTGCCCAGGCGAGCCTAGAGCTGGGGTGAGGGATGCAATAGGCCAAAGGGGAAGGAAGGAATTGTTGGGTATGTTGGGGTGTAGTGGTTGTGTGCCCGCGGTGTGGCAGCAGGTGTGGTATTTGCAAAGCTGCCTGCCGAACCACTGCTGTGTCACTTCCCTGTGTGTGGTGAGGTTCCCCGGGTGGCACAGCCGAGTGTGTAGTGGAGTTGAAGGCTGAGGTTGTGAGCATGTTTGGGCCCAGTGAGGAAGGACCTGCCCATGGGGCCGGGTGTGCTGTGAAGGGAGGCGGGGGCTGTTCCCTGGGCATGCAGCAACCCTGGGAGGGCATTGGGGCAGTGGTTTCCCATCCTGGTGCTGAAGGTTGGAGGCCAGCATTGGGCTGTGAACTCTGTCGTTGTTGAGATGGTAGAGGAACCCTTTGTGTGAGAGGCGCACGCAGGCCCCATGGCTCTGAGGGTGCGTGGCTGCGTGTCCTGACCACCTCCTTTGGCGGGCGTGCTGCCCATGTGTTTGTAGGTGAAGCTCCCTAAGGAAAGCAGCCTGAGGCCCAGCCAATGTCACCTTGGGTGACACCAAGAGTTTGCAGTGGGGAGATTTCAGTGTAGGCAGCATGCCAGGGTGGGAGTATGGGAGGCAGGCGGCATGGCTGTTCGTGTCTGTGGGCAGCTCCCCGCCGAGCTGGCGGTCTTGCTGAAGCACGCCCTTGTTCTCTATGTACTTCTCAGAGGGGCCCTCGGTGGACGCAAGACTCACGTAGGCTTCTGCTGAGCACCAGAGGCAGCAGTGAATGGCGGAAGCACCATGGCCTGCGCTGGGCCAATGCCAGCAGAGCTCAGAGGAGGGTAAGCATCCCCAGGGCCTGAGGCCCCGCACTGGCCCTAAGGATTCCTGCGGAGACCTGCCAAGATGCCAGGGGAGCCTTGCTGGGCTCGAGGGTGAGAGCCCATGGCCCCATGGGCCTTGTTTGTTTGGGCCATGGCCCTGGACTCTGCTGGCTCTTGAAGGTCTTTGAGGTCCCCGGGCTTGCCTCCCCTTGCGCCGCCTGCCGTGCTCACCTGCCAGCACGTTGGCATGTGCTTGGATCGATGATGACTCCCGCAAATACATTCCTTGGAAGCTGAACAAAATGAGTGAAAACCCCATACCGTCGTTCTCATCGTGACTGAGGTCCAGCACATTGCCCCGTGCAGAGAGCAGGCGTGAGGAGCCCCAGCAGGGCTAACAGTGATCCTGCAGCACTGGGCCTGTGACCCAAGGGCTGCCGTGCCAGCACTCAGGCCGAGGGTTCCCAAGTGCCCTAGTGTGTCCATGGGTAGCTGAGTGCTGGGTGGGCGGGAGCTGAGACTTGGGGCAGCCAGGCCAGAGGACAGAGGTGTTGGCCTCTTGGGGAGGGCACAGGTGACCCAGGGTGTCCATCCAGGGGTGTGCAGGACACGGGTGCCTAAAGAGAGAGCCTAAAGGCCACAGCACGGCCTGGGGCGTGATCCCTGTGCCCAGCATCCTTGCAGCTCTGTGCCCGCATCCTTGCAGCAGAAGAGACACAAGGCCGAAGCCCTGACTCAAGGATGTTGCCCAAGCTGGTTGGGTCGGGATTGCTTGTGAAGTGCTTCCAGCCTGGTGTCCTGGGGCAGTGCATGGCAGGAAGCTTGGGTTTGGCAGAGCCAGCCTCTGGGCTGCAGTGCAGGCGGGCAGGAATGCAGTGGGTGGGGAATGCACACCTGCGCCTCCCTGTGCATGGACGCTGGGGTGTCTGTGGACACGGACACACAGATGCTGCTGCCGGCTAGCCCCGGGCCACAGCAAGAGCACACGGAAAAGGCAGAAACCTGAAACAGAGCATGGGTGCGAGCGTGGGCCAGGTGATGGAGTGGATTCCTTGTGGTGTGGTGTGGGCAGACCCTTTGCTCTGGGAAAAGTACGTGAGGGTTGGAGAAAGAGGGGATGTGCGAGGGAGCGTGACACAGCGGGCCTCCTTGGGCCAGCGGCTCTGCACTGTGGAGCTGCCTGGGTCCTGAAGCTTGGTTGTGCTGTGTGTTTACTTGGCAGGGTGTGTGGCTGCCATCGGCGTGGCTTGTGGAGTGCCAGCAGATCTGTGCTTGTGCTTTGGAGAGGAATCCGTCTGGGTGGCTGGCATGCAGGTAGCCCGTGTTGGGCTGGAAGTCCCCAAATCCTCATGGATGGTAAGCAGTGGCAGAGCCGGGGTGGGTGGTGGGGAAGTGTCCTCTAGCGCTTCAGAGTCCTGGGTAGTTGTGGGCGTGTTGGCCTGAGGTGGTCGCCCTGGGCTCCACTGCAAGAGTGGATCCTTGTGTTTTTGGCGGTGCAGGCTTTGTCCCTGACCTCTGCAGGCCTCTGAAGGGGCTAGAGGCCATAGGCTGTGGCCGATGCCAGCCTGCGTTGTTGTGCTCCCAGCACGTTGGGGTGTGCTTGGATCGATGATGACTCCACCGTCAAACATTCCTTGGAAAAGCTGAACAAAATGAGTGAAAACTCACTACCGTCGTTCTCATCGTGACTGAGGTCCAGCACATTGCCTCTAGTGGGGAGCATAGGAGTGAGGGTCCATGGGCAAGGGTTGAGGTGGCTGCCAGCCCCAGGGTGAGCCCAAGGGCAAGCGTGCCTTGGGGAGGTCAAGACTGCTGGGGAGGTGTGGTGAGAGGGTTGTGCATGGGCAGCAGTGCGCTGGTGGTCCGGGTGCTATGAGTGGGGAAGGGAAGTGGGATGTTGTGGCAGTGTCGGTGTGTTAGTGTTAGTGTTAGTGTTTGTGTTTGTATGTGGCTGTGGGTGTTGGTGGAGGGCTGGGTGTGTGATTGGTGCGCACACCTAAGGTGTTCCATGGACAAGCCATTGGTGCTGAGCCTTGGCACCCAAGGGTTGCTTCAACAGTGTGGTGTGGAGGTGGCCTTCTGAGCCCTACTAGGCAAGGGTGCTGGTACAGTGTGTTGCATTCTGTTGTGATGTGTTGTGTTGTGAGTGCTGTGCTGCATCTGGTGTTATGTTGGTGAAGGCATGTGTTGGGTGTTGGCCGCCATGTCTATTGGGATGCCATGTGGCCAAGCACCCATTTTTGGCAGGTTGATAGGTCTGTGCCCAGGCGAGCCTAGAGCTGGGGTGAGGGATGCAATAGGCCAAAGGGGAAGGAAGGAATTGTTGGGTATGTTGGGGTGTAGTGGTTGTGTGCCCGCGGTGTGGCAGCAGGTGTGGTATTTGCAAAGCTGCCTGCCGAACCACTGCTGTGTCACTTCCCTGTGTGTGGTGAGGTTCCCCGGGTGGCACAGCCGAGTGTGTAGTGGAGTTGAAGGCTGAGGTTGTGAGCATGTTTGGGCCCAGTGAGGAAGGACCTGCCCATGGGGCCGGGTGTGCTGTGAAGGGAGGCGGGGGCTGTTCCCTGGGCATGCAGCAACCCTGGGAGGGCATTGGGGCAGTGGTTTCCCATCCTGGTGCTGAAGGTTGGAGGCCAGCATTGGGCTGTGAACTCTGTCGTTGTTGAGATGGTAGAGGAACCCTTTGTGTGAGAGGCGCACGCAGGCCCCATGGCTCTGAGGGTGCGTGGCTGCGTGTCCTGACCACCTCCTTTGGCGGGCGTGCTGCCCATGTGTTTGTAGGTGAAGCTCCCTAAGGAAAGCAGCCTGAGGCCCAGCCAATGTCACCTTGGGTGACACCAAGAGTTTGCAGTGGGGAGATTTCAGTGTAGGCAGCATGCCAGGGTGGGAGTATGGGAGGCAGGCGGCATGGCTGTTCGTGTCTGTGGGCAGCACCCCGCCGAGCTGGCGGTCTTGCTGAAGCACGCCCTTGTTCTCTATGTACTTCTCAGAGGGGCCCTCGGTGGACGCAAGACTCACGTAGGCTTCTGCTGAGCACCAGAGGCAGCGGTGAATGGCGGAAGCACCATGGCCTGCGCTGGGCCAATGCCAGCAGAGCTCAGAGGAGGGTAAGCATCCCCAGGGCCTGAGGCCCCGCACTGGCCCTAAGGATTCCTGCGGAGACCTGCCAAGATGCCAGGGAAGCCTTGCTGGGCTCGAGGGTGAGAGCCCATGGCCCCACGGGCCTTGTTTGTTTGGGCCATGGCCCTGGACTCTGCTGGCTCTTGAAGGTCTTTGAGGTCCCCGGGCTTGCCTCCCCTTGCGCCGCCTGCCGTGCTCACCTGCCAGCACGTTGGCATGTGCTTGGATCGATGATGACTCCCGCAAATACATTCCTTGGAAGCTGAACAAAATGAGTGAAAACCCCATACCGTCGTTCTCATCGTGACTGAGGTCCAGCACATTGCCCCGTGCAGAGAGCAGGCGTGAGGAGCCCCAGCAGGGCTAACAGTGATCCTGCAGCACTGGGCCTGTGACCCAAGGGCTGCCGTGCCAGCACTCAGGCCGAGGGTTCCCAAGTGCCCTAGTGTGTCCATGGGTAGCTGAGTGCTGGGTGGGCGGGAGCTGAGACTTGGGGCAGCCAGGCCAGAGGACAGAGGTGTTGGCCTCTTGGGGAGGGCACAGGTGACCCAGGGTGTCCATCCAGGGGTGTGCAGGACACGGGTGCCTAAAGAGAGAGCCTAAAGGCCACAGCACGGCCTGGGGCGTGATCCCTGTGCCCAGCATCCTTGCAGCTCTGTGCCCGCATCCTTGCAGCAGAAGAGACACAAGGCCGAAGCCCTGACTCAAGGATGTTGCCCAAGCTGGTTGGGTCGGGATTGCTTGTGAAGTGCTTCCAGCCTGGTGTCCTGGGGCAGTGCATGGCAGGAAGCTTGGGTTTGGCAGAGCCAGCCTCTGGGCTGCAGTGCAGGCGGGCAGGAATGCAGTGGGTGGGGAATGCACACCTGCGCCTCCCTGTGCATGGACGCTGGGGTGTCTGTGGACACGGACACACAGATGCTGCTGCCGGCTAGCCCCGGGCCACAGCAAGAGCACACGGAAAAGGCAGAAACCTGAAACAGAGCATGGGTGCGAGCGTGGGCCAGGTGATGGAGTGGATTCCTTGTGGTGTGGTGTGGGCAGACCCTTTGCTCTGGGAAAAGTACGTGAGGGTTGGAGAAAGAGGGGATGTGCGAGGGAGCGTGACACAGCGGGCCTCCTTGGGCCAGCGGCTCTGCACTGTGGAGCTGCCTGGGTCCTGAAGCTTGGTTGTGCTGTGTGTTTACTTGGCAGGGTGTGTGGCTGCCATCGGCGTGGCTTGTGGAGTGCCAGCAGATCTGTGCTTGTGCTTTGGAGAGGAATCCGTCTGGGTGGCTGGCATGCAGGTAGCCCGTGCTGGGCTGGAAGTCCCCAAATCCTCATGGATGGTAAGCAGTGGCAGAGCCGGGGTGGGTGGTGGGGAAGTGTCCTCTAGCGCTTCAGAGTCCTGTGGTAGTTGTGGGCGTGTTGGCCTGAGGTGGTCGCCCTGGGCTCCACTGCAAGAGTGGATCCTTGTGTTTTTGGCGGTGCAGGCTTTGTCCCTGACCTCTGCAGGCCTCTGAAGGGGCTAGAGGCCATAGGCTGTGGCCGATGCCAGCCTGCGTTGTTGTGCTCCCAGCACGTTGGGGTGTGCTTGGATCGATGATGACTCCACCGTCAAACATTCCTTGGAAAAGCTGAACAAAATGAGTGAAAACTCACTACCGTCGTTCTCATCGTGACTGAGGTCCAGCACATTGCCTCTAGTGGGGAGCATAGGAGTGAGGGTCCATGGGCAAGGGTTGAGGTGGCTGCCAGCCCCAGGGTGAGCCCAAGGGCAAGCGTGCCTTGGGGAGGTCAAGACTGCTGGGGAGGTGTGGTGAGAGGGTTGTGCATGGGCAGCAGTGCGCTGGTGGTCCGGGTGCTATGAGTGGGGAAGGGAAGTGGGATGTTGTGGCAGTGTCGGTGTGTTAGTGTTAGTGTTAGTGTTTGTGTTTGTATGTGGCTGTGGGTGTTGGTGGAGGGCTGGGTGTGTGATTGGTGCGCACACCTAAGGTGTTCCATGGACAAGCCATTGGTGCTGAGCCTTGGCACCCAAGGGTTGCTTCAACAGTGTGGTGTGGAGGTGGCCTTCTGAGCCCTACTAGGCAAGGGTGCTGGTACAGTGTGTTGCATTCTGTTGTGATGTGTTGTGTTGTGAGTGCTGTGCTGCATCTGGTGTTATGTTGGTGAAGGCATGTGTTGGGTGTTGGCCGCCATGTCTATTGGGATGCCATGTGGCCAAGCACCCATTTTTGGCAGGTTGATAGGTCTGTGCCCAGGCGAGCCTAGAGCTGGGGTGAGGGATGCAATAGGCCAAAGGGGAAGGAAGGAATTGTTGGGTATGTTGGGGTGTAGTGGTTGTGTGCCCCCGGTGTGGCAGCAGGTGTGGTATTTGCAAAGCTGCCTGCCGAACCACTGCTGTGTCACTTCCCTGTGTGTGGTGAGGTTCCCCGGGTGGCACAGCCGAGTGTGTAGTGGAGTTGAAGGCTGAGGTTGTGAGCATGTTTGGGCCCAGTGAGGAAGGACCTGCCCATGGGGCCGGGTGTGCTGTGAAGGGAGGCGGGGGCTGTTCCCTGGGCATGCAGCAACCCTGGGAGGGCATTGGGGCAGTGGTTTCCCATCCTGGTGCTGAAGGTTGGAGGCCAGCATTGGGCTGTGAACTCTGTCGTTGTTGAGATGGTAGAGGAACCCTTTGTGTGAGAGGCGCACGCAGGCCCCATGGCTCTGAGGGTGCGTGGCTGCGTGTCCTGACCACCTCCTTTGGCGGGCGTGCTGCCCATGTGTTTGTAGGTGAAGCTCCCTAAGGAAAGCAGCCTGAGGCCCAGCCAATGTCACCTTGGGTGACACCAAGAGTTTGCAGTGGGGAGATTTCAGTGTAGGCAGCATGCCAGGGTGGGAGTATGGGAGGCAGGCGGCATGGCTGTTCGTGTCTGTGGGCAGCACCCCGCCGAGCTGGCGGTCTTGCTGAAGCACGCCCTTGTTCTCTATGTACTTCTCAGAGGGGCCCTCGGTGGACGCAAGACTCACGTAGGCTTCTGCTGAGCACCAGAGGCAGCGGTGAATGGCGGAAGCACCATGGCCTGCGCTGGGCCAATGCCAGCGGAGCTCAGAGGAGGGTAAGCATCCCCAGGGCCAGAGGCCCCGCACTGGCCCTAAGGATTCCTGCGGAGACCTGCCAAGATGCCAGGGAAGCCTTGCTGGGCTCGAGGGTGAGAGCCCATGGCCCCACGGGCCTTGTTTGTTTGGGCCATGGCCCTGGACTCTGCTGGCTCTTGAAGGTCTTTGAGGTCCCCGGGCTTGCCTCCCCTTGCGCCGCCTGCCGTGCTCACCTGCCAGCACGTTGGCATGTGCTTGGATCGATGATGACTCCCGCAAATACATTCCTTGGAAGCTGAACAAAATGAGTGAAAACCCCATACCGTCGTTCTCATCGTGACTGAGGTCCAGCACATTGCCCCGTGCAGAGAGCAGGCGTGAGGAGCCCCAGCAGGGCTAACAGTGATCCTGCAGCACTGGGCCTGTGACCCAAGGGCTGCCGTGCCAGCACTCAGGCCGAGGGTTCCCAAGTGCCCTAGTGTGTCCATGGGTAGCTGAGTGCTGGGTGGGCGGGAGCTGAGACTTGGGGCAGCCAGGCCAGAGGACAGAGGTGTTGGCCTCTTGGGGAGGGCACAGGTGACCCAGGGTGTCCATCCAGGGGTGTGCAGGACACGGGTGCCTAAAGAGAGAGCCTAAAGGCCACAGCACGGCCTGGGGCGTGATCCCTGTGCCCAGCATCCTTGCAGCTCTGTGCCCGCATCCTTGCAGCAGAAGAGACACAAGGCCGAAGCCCTGACTCAAGGATGTTGCCCAAGCTGGTTGGGTCGGGATTGCTTGTGAAGTGCTTCCAGCCTGGTGTCCTGGGGCAGTGCATGGCAGGAAGCTTGGGTTTGGCAGAGCCAGCCTCTGGGCTGCAGTGCAGGCGGGCAGGAATGCAGTGGGTGGGGAATGCACACCTGCGCCTCCCTGTGCATGGACGCTGGGGTGTCTGTGGACACGGACACACAGATGCTGCTGCCGGCTAGCCCCGGGCCACAGCAAGAGCACACGGAAAAGGCAGAAACCTGAAACAGAGCATGGGTGCGAGCGTGGGCCAGGTGATGGAGTGGATTCCTTGTGGTGTGGTGTGGGCAGACCCTTTGCTCTGGGAAAAGTACGTGAGGGTTGGAGAAAGAGGGGATGTGCGAGGGAGCGTGACACAGCGGGCCTCCTTGGGCCAGCGGCTCTGCACTGTGGAGCTGCCTGGGTCCTGAAGCTTGGTTGTGCTGTGTGTTTACTTGGCAGGGTGTGTGGCTGCCATCGGCGTGGCTTGTGGAGTGCCAGCAGATCTGTGCTTGTGCTTTGGAGAGGAATCCGTCTGGGTGGCTGGCATGCAGGTAGCCCGTGTTGGGCTGGAAGTCCCCAAATCCTCATGGATGGTAAGCAGTGGCAGAGCCGGGGTGGGTGGTGGGGAAGTGTCCTCTAGCGCTTCAGAGTCCTGAGGTAGTTGTGGGCGTGTTGGCCTGAGGTGGTCGCCCTGGGCTCCACTGCAAGAGTGGATCCTTGTGTTTTTGGCGGTGCAGGCTTTGTCCCTGACCTCTGCAGGCCTCTGAAGGGGCTAGAGGCCATAGGCTGTGGCCGATGCCAGCCTGCGTTGTTGTGCTCCCAGCACGTTGGGGTGTGCTTGGATCGATGATGACTCCACCGTCAAACATTCCTTGGAAAAGCTGAACAAAATGAGTGAAAACTCACTACCGTCGTTCTCATCGTGACTGAGGTCCAGCACATTGCCTCTAGTGGGGAGCATAGGAGTGAGGGTCCATGGGCAAGGGTTGAGGTGGCTGCCAGCCCCAGGGTGAGCCCAAGGGCAAGCGTGCCTTGGGGAGGTCAAGACTGCTGGGGAGGTGTGGTGAGAGGGTTGTGCATGGGCAGCAGTGCGCTGGTGGTCCGGGTGCTATGAGTGGGGAAGGGAAGTGGGATGTTGTGGCAGTGTCGGTGTGTTAGTGTTAGTGTTAGTGTTTGTGTTTGTATGTGGCTGTGGGTGTTGGTGGAGGGCTGGGTGTGTGATTGGTGCGCACACCTAAGGTGTTCCATGGACAAGCCATTGGTGCTGAGCCTTGGCACCCAAGGGTTGCTTCAACAGTGTGGTGTGGAGGTGGCCTTCTGAGCCCTACTAGGCAAGGGTGCTGGTACAGTGTGTTGCATTCTGTTGTGATGTGTTGTGTTGTGAGTGCTGTGCTGCATCTGGTGTTATGTTGGTGAAGGCATGTGTTGGGTGTTGGCCGCCATGTCTATTGGGATGCCATGTGGCCAAGCACCCATTTTTGGCAGGTTGATAGGTCTGTGCCCAGGCGAGCCTAGAGCTGGGGTGAGGGATGCAATAGGCCAAAGGGGAAGGAAGGAATTGTTGGGTATGTTGGGGTGTAGTGGTTGTGTGCCCGCGGTGTGGCAGCAGGTGTGGTATTTGCAAAGCTGCCTGCCGAACCACTGCTGTGTCACTTCCCTGTGTGTGGTGAGGTTCCCCGGGTGGCACAGCCGAGTGTGTAGTGGAGTTGAAGGCTGAGGTTGTGAGCATGTTTGGGCCCAGTGAGGAAGGACCTGCCCATGGGGCCGGGTGTGCTGTGAAGGGAGGCGGGGGCTGTTCCCTGGGCATGCAGCAACCCTGGGAGGGCATTGGGGCAGTGGTTTCCCATCCTGGTGCTGAAGGTTGGAGGCCAGCATTGGGCTGTGAACTCTGTCGTTGTTGAGATGGTAGAGGAACCCTTTGTGTGAGAGGCGCACGCAGGCCCCATGGCTCTGAGGGTGCGTGGCTGCGTGTCCTGACCACCTCCTTTGGCGGGCGTGCTGCCCATGTGTTTGTAGGTGAAGCTCCCTAAGGAAAGCAGCCTGAGGCCCAGCCAATGTCACCTTGGGTGACACCAAGAGTTTGCAGTGGGGAGATTTCAGTGTAGGCAGCATGCCAGGGTGGGAGTATGGGAGGCAGGCGGCATGGCTGTTCGTGTCTGTGGGCAGCACCCCGCCGAGCTGGCGGTCTTGCTGAAGCACGCCCTTGTTCTCTATGTACTTCTCAGAGGGGCCCTCGGTGGACGCAAGACTCACGTAGGCTTCTGCTGAGCACCAGAGGCAGCGGTGAATGGCGGAAGCACCATGGCCTGCGCTGGGCCAATGCCAGCGGAGCTCAGAGGAGGGTAAGCATCCCCAGGGCCAGAGGCCCCGCACTGGCCCTAAGGATTCCTGCGGAGACCTGCCAAGATGCCAGGGAAGC